GGAATGGCTTTTCCCATTCATTTACTACAAAAAATAGGAATGTGTTTGGGACAGATATTCCAACTACTCATAACCTACAATATACACTTGTATATTTTTTACACAATACAAAACTAATAAAGAACATATATATTAAAATGATCGAATAATAATCAAAAACAATACTAATTAACTTTCCTCGGCCTGGGCTGTGTGTCCTCACTGGTAAGCGCTTTGTTGGTAGTTGGATTTAATTTTTTTTATGAAATAATAAATGTCCAGGCCAAAGAGCGCTGTTATGAATCAGCGTTCTATGGGGTTGAGATAATCTCAAGTGTGTTGGCTTGACTACTTCTGTTATTCCTGTTTTAAGAGCATATATTATTTTAATCGCTTTACTGTATTTGAATATATACATCAAGTGTGCTCAATAAATTGTATCTGTTGCTGAGTTCCTCTTCGTTAATTTTTGGCATAGGCTGTCTCAAAGCTTGCCAGTCTCATAGTGAAGCTACCAAAATTCCCAGTTTGGCCGGGAAGCTTTTGCAAATCATAAATGTGTCCCAGTTTGAAATGTTCTGGTCTCAAGCTCAACTCGTGACACAAGCATAAAGGATGAAGATACTTAAGCATTGTTGCGGGGTTTCTGGATGAGTAGGAGGGGCTAAATAATTATAGTCAGTGCTGACGAAGGGAAGAGCTGCCAGATCGCCATGAGTTTTGGTCGATCCTCTTATAAAATCTCTATCTCGTATGCTACAATACACTGAGTTAGCATAAAATAGAAGCCAAGTGCAGAATTAATGATCATTTCCATACAGAGTTAAATATGTCAGAACCGAGCCATTCATGTGCTCGTGAGCTATGCACTCTAAAATCTAGATGGACTTTTTTAAGTAACTGGTGTTTTGTCTTATTGGTTCTTTCGGTAAAGTCACGTAGAAGGGAAGTAATAAAATAATAAAAATAAAACATAATAAAATAATTCTCACGACGTTTCGGCCACAACACAAGTAGCCGTCCTCAGGTGAAGACAGGTCTGTCGAGGCGACAGCGTCTAAAAGAAAACACCACCACGCTTGGAGCGTCTATTTAAGCTGGGTTGGAAGGGGGGGGAAATGCGCATTGAGAAAATAATCTGCAAATCAAGAGGTATTTAGCATATTTATGGGAAATGCAGGAATGCGATTAGTGTTTTGTGTTTAGTTTGTCCTTCCCCGTAACTCTGACTAGCACGGTTGGCTATGCACGGTACGAAACAAGTTCAACATTCGGTACTTGCAACACACACATGTTAATGCTATTGTAGTGTCAACGATTCAGAGACAGAGTTTCGAGGAGACACTTTCTTTATTAACAACTTCCACAGTCTCGTCCACACACTCTCAACAGAAACGTAGCCTAGCCTGTACACAACACTAGCCATCTAACACTGACGGCGCTGACTGAGACAGCCAACCACCACCCCTCGCAGCGCAATATCCAGCAGAGTCATCCAGCGACGACGGTGACGAGACAACAGCAACGACGAGACGAGTCCATTCCCTGAACCGGCAGCCTTGAGCCCCCGCTCTCGGCTCCTTTTATGCTCCCAGCGCGGCTTGGCTCTGCCCTGATCGCGCCTCCCTTCTCGAACCCGCTAGCAGGTTCCGGGGGCCTCCAGATGGGGTCCTCCGTGACCCTTGCCCCAGTTCCTCCGCTCTGCCCACACACCCGTGCTCATGCCGCTGCTGTCCACCAGCCGGCGCTATTACACTACACTATTATTCACTGGCCATTATCCTGCAGAGCGGCTGATGGCCAGTCGTCAATAATGACGGAGTGGCAGCCACCGAATTGAACGTCCCCCGAGGGGATGTAGTGATAACATCAATTCGTGTGCAGCGCGACGTTGATTATTACATCACGGTATATGAGGTATGATAATGGTTTGGAGGGAGATCTTGATCCAGCAGTTGATTTCCAATGGCTGACGAGGAGAAATTTTATCCAAAGGAGAGGTGACACAGATTTTAACCCAACCTTCTCACTGAGTCAAGCACTCTAACCACAGCACCACCTGGCCATCGGTTTATTTTATATTCCAGAAAACATTACATCCGGAAGTGGTAAATGCAACTTAAAAATCACAGATCTCAACAAAACCTCCACCTATCCTCAGCTGTCAGCATTAAATCAAGCACCGCTGTGCCGCTGTGCTATCGCCATAATCTTGAATGCGACAGTGACACATCCCTGACTGATACAGATCAGCAATTTTGTTGCGTGACAAACGGACGTTTATAATAATGTCGTTTATCCTGCAGAGATTCACTGCGTCTCAAGGATCGGCCTCAAACAATGGGATGTTAGACCAATTCATTTTGAAGGAGTAGTGTGTGTGTGTGTGGCAGGAATGTGGAGTGCCAAGAAAATACCCACCATGCATGCAGGGGTGATAACACTCAACATTCCGTTCTAGTTATGAACCCACTTGCTGTACTGCCATCATTTGGCCACCTCCATTGCAAGCGGGTTAAGTGTCCCCCAACACACGATGTCACACAGGTTCTGATATCGCTCGCCACTTATGTTAGCCATGGCCTGGATAGAAACAAAACACTGCGTGGTCCACTACAAGCCACTGCCCCCCCCCACCCCATACAAACACACAGATAAAGATCCCCCGTATAGCCTTTATAGACTGATGGTGCAAGTTCTGTTAGCGAGCATCTATTACGACACACCAGGCGGAGTGTGTGTGTAGACAGCACCACTGCCGCCCCCCAGTGCTGATGTTTATGCACCGCACACCAAGGGTCTGAGTTCAGAAAAAAAACATGTCCGTAAATCTAACCGAGAAGCAATTCGCGTAACGCTACGAAAATCCGTAGGTCGCCCTTTCGCGGATAAACGGGCGGCACGCTCCAGCTCCTTGCTGTGGGTGGCATCATAGCTCCACCAGCCAATCGGCTCCAATAGGGATTTTTGCGCCAATTTTCAATAACTTCTTCAGCAGCCCCTCCCATACCTGTCAACCGATACGATTGAACCCGTGTTCTTGTGTTCTTGTACAGGGAAATATAGTTTTCAGGTCCACACGGCGTAGAGCCGTTTCAGTACGGGCAAAAACCAATATCTATTTGTTTGTGTCTCTCCCTTGTTATGGGACTTTGTAGGATGTACATTGAGATTTATAACGGGCATGGGGTGACCAATGAGGTCTCAATTGGTTTGTAATAAGGGGCCGTCCATAAATTACGTCACGCACCTAGGGGGAGGGGGGTCAGACATTTGTGATGAAGAACTCACCTGTTCTTCACCTGAGGACGGCTGCTTGCGTTGTGGCCGAAACGTCGTGAGAATTATTTGATTGTTTTATTTGTATTATTTTATTATTTCCATTCTACGTGACTTTACCGAAAGAACCAAGAAGATGAATCCCTGCAGTCACGAAAGCTTTAAATCGAAGTCTGTCAAGGCTTTTTCTGTGTGCGCGCGTGAGTGCCCGTGTGCGTGTGTGCAATTGTGGTGACTCATTGCGCCTCTTCCGACAAGCGAGCCAGTATCAGGGCTCAAGATAAGTGAAAATAAGACATTGTTCTCTGTTAATGTTACTTTGTGTTATATTTTATTTACTATACAGTATGTTTTAGTGTTCCATGAAAATATACAATGTTTCTTATTGATGAATTTAACAATGTTTCCCTTTTTGTTGAACCATAATACACTTCATAACGCGAACCTATGGGCATTCACATTTATTGGATTATCGTGGTACGACTTACGAACCGTTCGACTTAATAACGCGTCTCAGGAACTAATTGTGTTCGTAGGTCGATTACCTCCTGTATCGTTATGGATAATGTTAAGCGTCTTATAAAGGTTATCAAAGTTGATTACTTATAAAGCAATGTTAATGTTATCATAGTTTATTGTTATGAGGAATGCTAACCGTGTTAAAAGGTTATCAAAGTTGACGATTTCGTACAATTCAATGTTGTTCATGTTCTTAGTTTCTTTATTTGGAAATAATGTTAGCAACAACCACTCAAACAACCACAACGAAACATCACTAAAGTGCACCAACCCAACTTCATACGCAAATACAACCGCTCAAACACAACTACAAACAGAACAACACCAAGGAAGACAACGCACACAGCTGCTCCAAACACAACTACAGTACAGGGTGGCTATACAAAGTCCCTTCGTAAGAAAACAACTGTCGATGACTGTGTCTCTGTTGGAACAGCTCCGTCCGCTGCCATCCACTCTCAGCAAACAGCTGGGTTCGTACCCACGTTCTCCTCGGCAGGTAGACTCCTCCAAGTGGGTGGCTGCGTCCTCTAAAAGCACATCGGGACAGCTGTTTGGAGTTCCTCAATATTTGTCAACTTTAAGTGTGAGGTGGGAGGCGTTCTCCTTGAGTATCCCCCAAAGCTAATTATATTATGATGTTGTTGTCAGGCCTGGGTGCTCGGAACGGCCAAATCAGATTAGATCATCTCAAATTCCATCGTTCCCTGAATCCCTGCATCAAATAATGTACCTATTCCCGAATGGCGAGGGCATAAACTTTATTTTTTATTTTACCAGGTTAGGCTCATTGAGCTATATAGCTATTTTTCAGAAGCGACCTGCCCACAAATGATCGTTCAGCGAAACGGTTTATCACGTGGACATTTATAGCAGCTAATGCATGTTGATTGTAAATGTGGCACGAAAAACCGCAGGTCCCCGGATACACATCCACGCGACCACGGGGAGAGAGACACGCAAACTCCAAATATGCAGGCGTCAAGGTCGAGATCGAACCCACGTCCTCCTGCATACCCAGGCGAGGCAGACAACATCCCCCGTCACCACGGCGCCCCATTCAGAAGGACTTTGCGGCCACCCTCTAGAAACACGGATATCGATGACGAACTTTGCGGTTGTTCTGTATCATTCGTACCGGTTTTTTGCGGAATTGAATGCAATCCCCGTGCGTAGTAAATCCCGTGCGTTATCGGAAATGCGTGGCTTACGCATTTTTTTCATTGCGCTATCATACGGTAATCGGGGCCCCATGCAGGTCACGCGCGGTGCACGCGCGCACACGCAGGATTATAACATCGTCGTCATCTCGCGGTTAAGTCACAATGCGCTGCGCTGGGTGGTTTTCACAGGAGCGCCGCGTCACGTTTGCTGGGGGGAGACTTGAGCAGAGCGCGCGAGTGACTCCCTCGCTCTCACACGCGCCCCGTCTCCGCGTCTCAACGTCCCCGAGTGTCATCCTCTAGCCGTCTCGCGTAGCTCGCTCTCCCCGTGTCTCACTCTCCCCTTGTCTCACTCTCTTTGTCTCCCACTCTTCCCGTGTCTCACTCTCCCCGTGTCTCAGTTTCCCCGTGTCTCACTCTCCCCGTGTCTCACTCTCTCTGTCTCCCACTCTCCCCGTGTCTCACCCTTTCTGTCTCTCACTCTCCCCGTGTCTCACCCTCTCCGTGTTTCACCCTCTTAGTATCTCACTCTGTCTCTCACTCTCCCCGTGTCTCACCCTTTCTGTCTCTCACTCTCTCCGTGTCTCACCCTCTCCGTGTCTCACCCTCTCCGTGTCTCACCCTCCCTGTGTCTCACTCTCCCCGTGTCTCACTCTCCCCGTGTCTCACTCCGTGTCTCACTCTCTCCGTGTCTCACTCTATCTCTCACTCTCCCCGTGTCTCACTCTATCTCTCACTCTCCCCGTGTCTCACTCTCCCCGTGTCTCACCCTCTCCGCGTCTCATCCTCTCCGTATCTCACCCTCCCCGTGTCTCACCCTCCCTGTGTCTCACTTTCCCCGTGTCTCGCTCTCCCCGTGTCTCACTCTCACCGTGTCTCACTCTCCCCGTGTCTCGCTCTCCTCGTGTCTCACTCTCCCCGTGTCTCACTCTCCCCGTGTCTCACTCTCTTTGTCTCCCACTCTTCCCGTGTCTCACTCTCCCCGTGTCTCAGTTTCCCCGTGTCTCACTCTCCCCTCAGTGTGTGCCCACGCCACCTGTGCACACACACACACACCTGTGCGCACACACCTGTACGCACGCGCACACACACACCTGTGCACACACACCTATACGCACGCGCGCACACACACACCTGTGCACACACACACCTATACGCACGCGCGCACACACACACCTGTGCACACACACACCTATACGCACGCGCGCAAACACACACCTGTGCACACACACAGCTATACGCACGCGCGCACAAACACACCTGTGCACACACATACCTATACGCACGCGCGCACACACACACCTGTGCACACACACACACCTATACGCACGCGCGCACACACGCATGCGCGCTGGAGGATGGAGGCGGACAGAGAGAACGCGCAGCTGCTGGAGGAAGGGAGAGCAAAGAGCGCCTACCTCACCTACCTGCACAAGTACGCGGATACACGCACACACACATGTAATACGTATAGTATGTAATACACACATGTGATACATACAGCTTATAATACATACACTTGTGATACATACAGCTTGTAATACATACAGCATGTGATACATACAGCATGTAATACATACACGTGTAATACATACAGCATGCAATACATACACATGTAATACATACAACGCACATACAAGTAATGCACACGGCACACAGATATACACGTGTGATGCATACGGCACGTATACATGCAAAAGTCGCATTTGATACGTACATCACATAGGTATGCATGTGACTCATACAGCACGTATACATGCAAAACATACAGAACAAATGAACGTGATACGTACATCACATTTGATGTATGTAGCATGTATACATGGAATACACAAAACATATGCATGTGATACATATAGCGCAGATGTACGTTTGATGCATATACAGAACATATGTGTATACAAGCAACCCATCTATATACACAAAACAAAGAGAAAGACCCTCGGAGAGCCTTAACAGACTGTTGGGGCAAGTGCTGTTAGCGAGCACCTATAAAGGCCGACACGGCACACGAGGGGGTGGGTGGCCAGCACCACGCGCGGCCGCCTTTGTCTCCCAAGTAGCGATATTGACGCATCGCACGAGGTACTCATTTGAGGCTGAGTCGACATAGGGGAGGCCCATGACCGGTTCAGATAATCGTCAGTGGTGTCGGCCGTGAGTGGGAATCAAACTCGGGACCGCCGGGTTCGTAGCGCAGCGCGCTAACTGCTATGCTACCACTTCCACACAGTTACATATTCACACACACACAGCACACGATGTATACACACACTGACAAATAATGCACGCACGTATATTCAGCGTATGTACACATTTAATCACTATGTACAGCAACACATACACGCACATATACACATACATGCACGTATATATGCAACACGTACATAATTACAAAAGCATGAATTGCGTTTACAACTTTACACATATGCTGTATGTATGATCACATTATAGACGTGTACTCTCCTGCGTTTGGTGCATATTTGGGGCCCGGGGAGCGGTGGCACAGTAGTTAGCGCACTGCGCAAGCCTCGGTTCGAATCCCGGCCACGGTTTAACATCAGTGGCGAGTGATATGCGAAGCAGTCCTCCTTAACATACATACCCCGATCTAACCAGCCTGGCTATCGTTTGATCAAAGTAGCCCCCCCTCCCCACCTCGCAACAGGCCTTAATCGAAAAGTGGATTGACCAAGGACCGTACATTCGTATTTTAATCTGAAATCGCTTGACATTCCAGCCGTTGCGCGCGGTATGACATGAACGGGGAGATTGTGTAGCCATGCGGAACGGCGACTTCTGTTCGCGTTGGGCGCTGACGTGGCCCCGCGCCAGCCTGGCGGGGGGAGGAGGTATTGCAGAGGTTCACGGTTCGAATGTCCAGCGGCCGTCATCGTTATGCGCACACACATGCTCGCCCGTCCGCTTCACGGCCGATGTTAAATAATCCTCAAAGGTCAGTTTCGGAAGAGTAGACCTTCGGGTTGCTGGCGTCCACATAAAAAAAACAGAATGTACCTGCAAATTACTCAACCAAGAATTAACATTTGCAACCATTGTCCCCTACTGTGGAAACTTGGCAGGGCCCCCTTGAAAACGAGTCATGAGACTCAGCAGGGGCTTTCCTGGTTAAAAAAAGCGTAATCATCATTGGAATAAAATGGCTCGCAGGATGTGTGTACCCTTTTAACTGTCCGCATGGGATGTCACGCCTTGAGTAGACGTGTGGTGGCCTGTAATGTAAGCTCGAATATCCAGGTGAGCCTTAGCCGAGTGTCGCAGTTCTTGTTCAGGAGGGTCCTGGCTTGGGATGTACGGACAATATCCCTGTTGGCGTTTGCATGTGTTGGGCAGGTTAAAGACGTCAGCATGAGCACAGCAAATCCTCGTTTTACGTCGGGGATGCGTCCCTCAAAGGTGCGACGACGAATATCGCAACGACGCAAATCAAAGCGATTTTTTTTCCGAATGACCAAAATTCTGCACGTAAATGATAAATGCTACTCCACGGTGCGGTACATTTCTGTATGCGCGACGCGAACGAGTTCGAGTCGAGGGTTAGTAGTAGGCGGAGGAGAGGCGAGGGCTAACGAGACGGACGATGCAGTCAGCGACTAGATCGGGTAGCGGTGTTAACACAGTGACGAGATATTTGCGAAACGACGTTAAAGGGTGAGACGTAAATCTGATCTATGGCTGTATCAGGAAAACCAAGAAGGTTTGACTCTATCGTTCTGGACCAGGGGTTGGTAACCAAAAAACAAGAACAGCCATTTTTTTCTTCAAATTCGGTAAAAAAAAAACACAACTCGATGTTCCAAGAGCCGCAATGCGCTGCGGTGGATACGAGACGGTGGTAATTGATCAATATTGTCACGAAGCGGTCATTAAAGAGCCGCAGGATGCCGACTCCTGTTCTAGACCCTTCCTCACCGGTGGCGCCCTCATTCCCCCATGGCTCCCAACCTAAACCCGTGAGCCTCGGACACGATTTGTGACCCTCCCCCACCCACCCCCACCCTCACCCCCACACCATTCTTCGAATATCTCTCCAACTCAAACCCCCGCGCCCCACTCCACAAACCACTTAGCTCCGTGAGCAGCGTTAACAGCTTCCTCCAGGCGACGGACTCGCCGCCGCCCAAGTTCCATGACGACGCTGGCGTCGATTCGGCGCACGAGGCGCTGGGCCACAGCCCGTGCCACTCGGGTGCCGGCGGTCAGAGGCGGAGGCGGCGCGAGGAGAGCGAGCGAGCCAAGAGGCAGCTGTACCTCGTCAGCGTCATCTGCTTCGTCTTCATCATCGGGGAGGCGATCGGTGGGTGGCGGGCTTCGGGGTTGATAGGGAGGGGGGTGCTCAGAATTGATTCGTTGGAGGTAGATGAAGGAGCGGTGGCGTCAGCTCCGTGGGGCATGTGCTGGGTGAATTATTGCGCCGCAGGATCGTGAGAGATGGCAGCGGCTGGGAAGTCCTCCATCCAGTCGTGCGCTGAAGGTGACTGACGATGAGAGATGCACTGGACATGCCACACGCTAGAAACGGGTCAATGTCACAAAATCTCCCCGCTCAACTCAGGCACAGGCCGGCACTCATCTTTAGTTTGACGCCGATCAAACAATATTTCAGAGCCGTCTTTTCGGACTTTGGTTCAGTAAATCAATTCAGTGATTTAAAGGATATTAAGACAGAGGGGGATATTAAATGCCGCATCATGGAATATCCAATCTGCAACGCCCCATTACTCTCTCAGCTACGATATGTCACTGCAGGTAGTACTTACAGTGGGGGGGGGGGGGGAGGTCTATGTTTTGGTCTAGGGCATCGAGTTAGGGTGAGGGTAGCTCAGAAACTCATTGTAAGCGCCACAAATCATATCAATGCTCATCTCCATTGGTGGCCCTAAACCAGAGTGGTGGAAATACCCCACATGTCTGTGCAGGGCGCAAGGCTAAAGAATGCCGAACTGTTGACTTCCCACAAAGTAGTCGTCGTGTTTACTGATCCTGGGGGAAAGGTGAGTTGTTTTGGCCACTGACTGGGATTTTAACTCGCGACCTTTTTAATCGCTAGTGGTAGCACTGCTTGAACTGCCTATCAGTTGTATAGGAGAGTAATGCGCCTCCGGACACAGTGTTGGTATGCACTCCGTGGTACTGCACTACGATTGGGGTTTGTTTTTGGTGCTTCTTGGCCTGACATTGTCGCTCACTGGGGGAGGGGGGGCAGCGACGCGAGTGCTTTGCACGCGACGCTACGAACCTCGTCACGTGAGTTTGATTCCAGGCCATGGCTCACCTCAGTGGTGAGTAATAAGTTCCTGGGAACCCGCTCCCTCTCCACCAATCAGCACTGATCAGCGATGGCGAATTATGGTCAAGCATGCTCCGTGCAGCAGAAGACTGTAACTTGTTATTTTGTAATCCCTTGATGTGCATGCACATGTGCAGTGGTCTATAACATTGAAGGTGACTGCTGTGTTTATCCGGAAGAGGCTCAATTGAGTGATGTTGCTCTTTTTACGAGGGTCCTACTTCGGGATCATTGACCGATTGGTCTTTGGGAGTTCGGCGCACCTCCGGTTGACTACGTACGGTGCGAAGGAAATTCGACATGCGCTCGTACAGGGTGGTTCGACGCGGTATGAACGTTGTTGCTGTGTCTTGAAGGTGGCATCCTCGCGCACAGCCTGGCCATCATGACGGACGCCGCCCACCTGCTCACCGACTTTGCAAGCTTCTCCATCAGCCTCCTGTCGCTGTGGCTCGCTGACAGACCCGCCAGCAAGAGGATGACGTTCGGCTGGTACCGGGCAGGTGAGGACCAACCCCTTCGCTATCGGTCGAATCAAGACGACTCAAGACCTCGCTGTTCCAGCTGGTACGGCTCACTGAGTTCAACAGCTCTGTCGCTCGGGGACAACCCCAGCCCAGTGACAGGACATTCCAGTTATATAGAGTGGTACAGAGACTCGTAGAGTTACAAAGAGACACGTAGACTCAGATTCAGACTTTATTTCAGCTGGTCAGGCCCCAGTGAGCTAAGCAGCTCTGTTACACAGACGGCCGTAGGTCCAAGACATCCGGCAGCGGTGGCGATTACCGGACGCTGCAGGTTTGGACTGTGTAAACTAACAGCAGCGAACAACAACGGCAACGTATTTGCCCGAAAGCCACGCGAAAACCGACTAAAAACAGCATGAGCAACAAATAGTGCTCAAACACAAATCAAAACAAGTATTTCACAAACATCGCTTGGTTTGAGCGTGAGCAGCACCGGCGCCTCCGTCTCAAGTGCCGTTCGTGAATAGTGGGGGGGGGGGGGGGGGGGATCCAGGGTGTAGTCCTGCACTGAACAGTTCCCGGATGGACATGGTAAAGGTGGCGTTTGACGCGGAGCCACAGAGCCACGGCGAGCGGTGGATACTGGACGTGGTGTGCCGGGTGCGGAGAAAATGAATATTTAGCAGCCAAGGGGTCGGCTCTTCTCCGTCGCGAGAGAAGGGTGTTGCACACGTGTGGAGCCATCAGTGCGGCTAATCGGTTGCTCAGTCAGGTTGGCGTTCTCTCCCCGCTCGAATGAGCGATGGCGCAGGGTGTGTCTCCATTGGTGACCCGGAGCACGTGGTGGGAATTCCACAGTCGCATGGTGGGGGCCAGTTGCTTCACAGGCTGACCACTCTTCGCTTCATGCGAAAAATGATGGCCTGAGTTTACCTGTGACGACGTCTATCATGCCGTGCTGCAACTTCAGTCACCGAGGTTCGATTCCCGGCCATGGCTAACATCGGTGGTGACTATCAGAACAGGCCCCTTGGCTTTTCCTAGGTCGGCTCAGCCTTGAAACAACGCCTGGTGTGGTGTGTCGACAGCATCGCTTGGGGAGACAAAGGCGGTCAAGCGTGGCGCTGGCCACACCACCCCGTTGTGCGCCGTGGTGGCCCGAGTAGGTGCGCACGAGCGGCATCTGCCTCGACGTTTTGTATTCGACTACCTGGGGGACCTTTGTCTGTGTCCGTGTGAGCAGAGATCCTGGGCGCACTGCTCTCCGTCTTCTCCATCTGGGTGGTGACCGGCGTGCTGGTCTACCTGGCCGCCTGCCGCATGATCTCGCGAGACTTCGCCATCGAAGGGACGGCCATGCTCGCCACCTCCGTCTGCGCCGTCATCGTCAACATCATGTGTGTGCGCTTGCACACAACCAGCCACTTACCAACGTTGGGTCAACGTTGGACCAACGTTAGTCCAACAATTCTAACCACGGGCCACCCTTGGTCCAACGGTTCCTGCCACATGCCAACGTTGGGTCAATGGTTCCAACCGTATTCCAACGTCGAGCCAACGTTGCATGTTTACTGGGCGGGTGAGAGCGTGCGCGCGTGCGTGAGTGTGCAAGCGTAACATACATTTTGGGGAGCGGTAGTCAAGTGCTCAGTGCACTGCGCTAGGAACCTGGATATCTGAATTCGGATTACCGCTCACGGCCAACATCAGTTGCGAATATCTGAACCGGTCCTGGGTCTCGCCTAAGTCGACTCAGCTTTAAATGAGAACCTGGTGCAGTGTATTAACATCAGCACTGGAGAGACAGAGGCGGTCGGGCGTGGTGCTGTCCACACCACCACGTGTACCTATGTCGACCTTGCATGTATGTATATTGAATTTCTTTCGGACCGTACGTAGCCAACCGCGCTAATAGGATGCGTGGGGGAAAGACAACAGACTAAACACAAAAAGCAGTTTCAAAGAAATTCGTTTTCGATCGAGATTTAAAAGTGCATAGCTCCAATGACTTCCTAATGTAGGTGTTCGCTAACTACACTTGCCCCAACAGCCTAAAAAGGCTATAGTTTTATGGGAATCTTTGTTTCTGTCGCATAATTACAATTGATATAGTCACAATTCTTTCATCATCAAGAACATCACCGACTTTATATGAACAAAATCAGTATGCACCTTTGCGCGGGATTGTGGGTCGTGAAGCAATATTCACCAGGAAAGACATCCACATTTTTGCGAATTGACATTTTCATCCTTCTTTCATCAACATCATCCTCATCACTGACTTCATATGGACACAATCAGTGCACCGTTGTGTATGATTGTGGGTCGTGAAGCAATATATTCACCAGGGAAGACATCCACATCATTGCGAACCTACGCTCATCGATGAATCATCCACAGGAGCAGCATCTTTTAATCCGCGGACCACCCAGCATCCTACACCCCTGGTGTCAAAACGCATTCATTTTTCTCTCTAAATACAGGTGACACAAAACTATTCATATTACTTGAACATAAAAACATTGCTTTTTGTACGCAGCTGTAAGGCTTTTTTAATGGGGGGGGGGGGGCATTTTGATCTTAGGGATTGCTTAGTTTAATCAGGGTAGTTTACCTAACTTATTTTTTTTATATATCATAAGTCAAATATTAATTGGCCGAAACAAAAGGTGAAAAATTGTCATTATTCTCCAGATCAACCTGCATTTGCTTCACAGCTCTGCAGACTACCTGGAGGAACGTTACAGACCACTCGCTGGTGGTGCGGGGACCACTCTCTGAGACCCACTGGTTTAAACAATGCGAATCTCGCGCTGGCTTCAAATTATACGGGTCTCTTCAGTGCGACACAGCCGCCATCCTGATAGGCCGACCTCTGCTCATGAGACTCCAAAAGGTCAACATCAATTCTCCAGTTAGTTTTTGCCTGCTTCAACAAATGCTGCGGTAACTCGGTGGCCAACAGGCTCAGTTGTTACTTCACTATGGCTATGAAACAGGCATCGCCCACGTTGTGTTTAATACGCCACGTATACAGGGATTCATAGCAGCCGGATTGGCGACCCTGGGATATATTTTGACACACGCAGCACGCCACATCCGAAATGCGTCTCGCTTCGGCTGCGACACTATCCTTGTGCCGCCTACTCCCGTCCTGAATGACGTGCCTGTTCCAGTCTTTCAACAGCGACCTGTCATATATTCAGTGAGAAATTAAGAGCCCCGCTGCATAAATGTAAATGAATGGGTGGAAGCAGGTTGGGACACGGAGAGTCTAAATCTGACATTTAACTCGGACGCCTTCCCCGATGGAGCGCTCCCTCGGGCAAATCGAGCTGCACATTCGTTCAGCCGACACCATAAACTGCCAACCATCGCTCTCTCAGATTCCCTCACTTTGGGGGAAATGAGGTGAGGGGTTATTTATAGGCGTGAGGGGAGAGAGACGTGAGACGTGGATGAATGTGTTTAGGGCTGCGGCTTGTGCGTGCGAGTGTTTTATAAGGCGCGTCGACGATGTTACTGAAATTTTGGTAAGCGCAGGTAAGAAACTGACACTTTGCTGATTAACGCTTAGTTATGAGTGCGTACCAGAGGTGTGGACTCGAGTCATGTGACTTGGACTCGAGTCAGACTCGAGTCATGAATTTGATGACTTCAGACTCGACTCGGCAAAATGTACAAAGACTTGCAACTCGACTTGGACTTGCATAACAATGACTTTGTCCCACCTCTGAGGTGTGGACTCGAGTCATGTGACTTGGACTCGAGTCAGACTCGAGTCATGAATTTGATGACTTCAGACTCGACTCGGCAAAATGTACAAAGACTTGCAACTCGACTTGGACTTGCATAACAATGACTTTGTCCCACCTCTGAGGTGTGGACTCGAGTCATGTGACTTGGACTCGAGTCAGACTCGAGTCATGAATTTGATGACTTCAGACACGACTCGGCAAATTGTACAAAGACTTGCAATTCGACTTGGCCTTGTATAACAATGACTTTGTCCCACCTCTGGTGCGTACTCACACCACCCATATAATGACATCAATACCGTTATAATCACACCACCACCGATATCATCACACCACCACCGATATCATCACATCACCGATAACGGGCGATTTCATTTTCTAATTCGATTTAAAAACAAAAACTGAAGAGATCAACGGTATTCCACACGCAGCGAAAAGGTGTAGGCGGTTGTTTTCAACAGCTGCAGAGAGACTTCGTGAGCGTTGGGGCAGCAGCGGCTGCCCTCGCCGATCCACACAGAGCACGGCCGCAGCCAGTCACAGCGCCCATACTCACAGGTTTGCTCAACCGAACATATGTCCGCTTCGGAGGATATGATTCAGAATAGCATTGCACGAGTTCGAAAGTACAAAGTACGGGATTATATCGCGTCACTTCTGAACGGTAACTGAAGACGGACAACTTAAAAAAAAATCAGCACTGTTTTTGGACAAGAGTTTTATTTCGATTTAAAGCTTTCGTGACTGCAGGGATTCATCTTCTTGGTTCTTTCGGTAAAGTCACGTAGAAGGAAAATAATAAAATAAAACAATAAAAATAAAACATAATAAAATAATTCTCACGACGTTTCGGCCACAACGCAAGCAGCCGTCTTCAGGTGGAGAACAGGTCTGTCGAGAAGGCACCTGAAGACGGCTGCTTGCGTTGTGGCCGAAACGTCGTGAGAATTATTTTATTATGTTTTATTTTTATTATTTTATTATTTTCCTTCTACGTGACTTTACCGAAAGAACCAATAAGAAGAGTTTTATTTTTGTCACTCTCACGCACGCCCGCCCCTAAAGCCCCTCGTTCACGTGTTCACCCCTTCAACAAAGGGCTCTCACTGTCACCCACCCAACCGCTACTTATTCGCCCTTTTGTTGCCTCTGTAGGGGTGTTAAAGAGAGGGCCCGTTATGCATGGCAGCCTATGGAAAACAAACACAGTGGGCGGGGCTACGTAAGTGCACGAGGAGGTGCCCTCTACGACGTCCGAGCCAGACACCCTGGGGGGGGCTGGTTCGAACGTTATGATCCCCCGGGGCCCCACCCCTCAGGGAGGGGTTGGGTATAAAAGGGGATGTTTCAAAGGGCTCGGCAGTTATGTTTAAGCTAAGGGAAGAAGACTGAAGACGTCTTAGATAGAGCCCTGGACTCCCCTAGTTCGATGTCCTTTTCAGGGCCGGACAGGACTGAGCCAGCGGCGTGGTCCCGAAAGCCAGAGCCGGTGCTCTTGTAAGAGCTGGTCTGGAACTCCGGGTACCGGGCCCGACTTACCAGTGTCGGGCCAGTTAGCCTCCCCTAGCCCATTAGTGGAGGATTCGGGGCTAGGACAGAGTTAGCTAGGGGTGTATCCCGAGTTATACGGGTGAGGGGGCCGATACCCCCTCGAGTGTGTATATGCCCACTGTCGTATTGTGAAATAAATATACGTGTGCCTCAACCTCGGCGTCAAGCGTCTTCACCGGTACTTCAACTGGTGTCAGAAGTAATTCGAACATGGACACGCGGAAAACAGCGCGGGCCAAAGTACCGCAGGAGGAAGACACTGCCGAGATCGTCGAGCCCGAGACGGCTCCACAAGACAAGGTGCAGCCGGGGCCTGACGCCTCCTTACCGGGGCATCGAAATGAAGAGGGGCCGCAGCCAGACGCGTTACGGCTGGCTCACGGGAGGCTGGCGGAGCTGCTGTATGCCGCTGCCGCCACGCTGGAGACCATCACGCGACTAGGGGCCGGTGATCCAACACGGGGCGAGGCGAGCCAACGACCAGGGCGCCTTCCCGCCATTTCGGAGCAGTCCGAATTTGAAATTCCCGCCATCGACGCTACAGCTGTTCGGGGCGTGGCCAGCCTAGACATCCGCTCCGACATCGCCGTCGCTGAAGCTGCAACGTCATCACAAGCGCGACAGGCGATCCCATCGGCCGTTCGCACCGACGCACAGCCGAGTGGTGGTGACATCAGCCTGCGGGAGTCCACAACGACCGCTGCGCTTCATCAGAGACTGCCCCCGCTGAAGGAGTTCATCGGCGCGGAGGGGGACTGGGCCGGTTTTCGCCGACGTTTCCTCGCCCATCAGGAGATGGCGAAATGGTCCGATGAGGAGGCTCTCTGCGCGCTGCCGGCGCTCCTCGACGGCGACGCGCTCGCCGCCCTCACATCGGCGCCGAGAGAGAAGCGGTCTACGTTACCGATGACACTACAGCTGCTGGGCGGGGTCTATGGACCATCGGCTGAATGCCGACAGCAATTTTACGACCGCAAGCGGGGTGAGAAGGAGTCGCCCCTAGCATATCGGACGAGCCTCCTGGCGATGGCTAAGTCGGCCTTCCCTCGTATGGACGACGACGGCGATGGTCACGGAGAAGATCCTCC